AACCATCGTTAAGAACATGATCCGCAAGCATTTCATCAATACATATTAGCGTAACCAACTTATTTGAATATATTGCAGCCCTTTGTGCCGCACATATGTAACGCACTTCATATTTAACCTCCTTCATGCTCCATAATCACGTTCTGATATAGTTAAAGTCATGCACATGTACCCAAATTCACGGCGCTGGCTCCGGGAGCTCTCCCAGCAACAAGCTCCGCTTACTTGGGTGGACTCCCTGGACATTCAGGTCAAAACCCAGCACGAAAATGACCAGGCAACTACCCCTCCGACTTGTGTAACTGTACATCCCTTACCAACACTGCGAATGAGTGGTTGTAGCTTATTGGGTGGTTGTAACGGGCTGTCATTATTTGACTTTGGCCAAAGACTACTTAAAGCCTTCTCATGTATGATTTTTCCTTGCCTATTACATAACGCAATTCCTTTGGGTCTGCACCACCTCTTCGCCTGCTTCTTAACGATTGTTTCCTCTTCCTAGCTGGGAGTGCCGCGACTTGATTTTATGTTTCTAGTATTAACGTACGGTTTATTGCGTCGCTGAGATAGAGGGAGGGGCCTGTCGCTGTTCTTGTTACTCCTGGTTACCTGTTCTTGGGGAACGGTAGATATAAAAATATTTACACAATTAAAAACGCCACCGGGCGTTTTTTAGCCTTCATATGAACACGGAGCACATGACATTGACTCGGGTCATGACCTACCTCATTTGTGCCATCTGCAAAACAATTGTGAGCTCAAAAGGGCGCTTTTGTGACGTTAGACGTAGAACGTCTTAGACGTCTTAGACGTAGAGTTCGAACACTCCTCTAAAGAATGTTGTGATATCATTCTAATGTACAGTGAGGTCCCAACAGGTCACGTTAGGGCATGCAAGGTCATATGAGCTCATCCCAGGTCAATGACCTATGTTATCAGTAGCGGAAAGGCGAGATAAACGAGTGCGGCGCGTTTAACGACCTCCTTATCGTGCTTGTAAAACCGATGACGTTTAATTTCATGTAGCAGCGTATCTGTTCGCAGTTTGTGACAAATACATCACCAAGCGTCGAAGGGACTATGTATAATGCCGTCAACAGTTATGCGATCTTGGACACCTGTAGATGTACAACACGCTAAATCTGACCACTGAAAAACATAGTACTGGCCACCTAAGCCCGGTTAGCAGTTTTTTATTTGGATGACTTATTAGTTCGACCTTGGTTGACCTAAGCTGTGCTCTGCGTCAACTTAAAATGCTATTTTGTGTCTGGGATATTTTGTCCCGAAGCTTCATCTAACAGAATAAATTCAGTCAGAAGCACGTTGTGAAAGAAAACAAAAAATATCGTTCTTGGTGGCCACTGGTGCAACAACTTTGAACGGTGGAATGACTTGACCTGACCCGACACTTGCAGGGAAACAAAAATGGTCTGAATGGGCTCCCCCGTAGTCTTAACGCTTACTTCTGTGTGCCCGATATCCATCTTGATGTGTTAACATGTGCTTCCAACTCCATTTATCAAAACGACCGTTTTTGACCTGTACTGACTTCTGGCACCCTCGGATTTGAGGTAAAGCCAACCATTTGGTGTGCATTCTTCATGATATGACAAAACCTTCACAACGTTTCTCTCGTTTTGTCGTACGACGTCTGGAATAGGAGATCCAGGGAAATCAACCTCCCCTGCCAGGTGCGGTTGTCTCAGACCCCCGGCCGGGCGCAGGTTAACCGCGAAACAAGAACGATTAAACTTAAACACACTGACCATAGGAAGGGCTTAGGATGTCAAATGAAGCTTAAATTTCCCCGTAATATTGCCGTGAAAAGTGTAAGGGTTGTCAAAAACGATGCCACTCTTTTGATTCATCAGGTCATCCATCTATCAGAGTTTAACTTATGCGTGACTGCTTTCCAGGCCACAGGTAAAATACTTTGACAAAGGTAGTAGTAAGAGAAGTGGCAGTTCACAGGCATTGCTTTTGTACGGGGCCGTTGTATAACAACACGTAAAATACTCGCACAGAGAAGGTATGTTGCCATGTAAACACACTACGCCGTTGCCGACGGCCAGCTTCGGCAGAGTCCTGAACGAATGCTGGCCGCATACGCGATGTGGCGAAATGTGCGGTGGTCAGTTCGCCTTCCAGAATAAGTGTTTCTATATGTCTCTTCAAAGAGGGCCATTTGGCCGTTGCCTTGATAGTGTCAAACTGGCTACTGGGCGACCGAGGGTCCTGTGGCGGCATGACATTCTCAAAGTCATTTCGGTGCTTTTGAGGTTTGGATAAGGACCGAATACAGAATGGATCGGCTGAATTTTCAGTTCAGTGATGGGATGGCACGCTCAGTGTGCTGGGAATAAGCGATACTTCGCCCGGAATCCGATTAAAATCCGTCCCAGGAATTTCGTTTTCTGCGCTGTTTCTCATTTTGTACATGAACTCGGCCTACAATCTTAACTAGCGCTGCCACACTTCAAAATATAGACTGCGATTATGTTGTTGCATTAGACCTTGCAACAAAGATATCTGGGTATCAAGTAAGGCAGCATTAACTTGGTTGCCCACCATCGGTGGCACACAAATTGTCGCTTGGCATAAACGAATCACCGTGGGACCGGTAAATCAGTGGATCTTAGTGGCTAAATCTACGTGTGACGGATACACCAAAACTGGACCGTCAAACAACATTTTTAACGCCGCTATCTAGAAGTACGCTTAATTGGAGGACATAATTTTGAGGTTGTGGGGGTTTAGTTGTCCCGCTGTACCACTGGTGGCAACGCCACTACGCGGAAGAGTCAAAGGATGATCAACTTTTCTCCTCGCTTTTGTAACATTCCAGCCAAAAATGATGGGAGTCAAGCCAATATTGGGGAGCGGTCCCAACTTACCATTCGGGGGAGGGACATGAAAGAATACAACTCAACACCCCTGTCAACACATTGTTCATGACAGTGTTCGAAATCCTCATCATATATTAACCGCATACAACGACTTGCTCATGACTGTTGACGGATGTACTCTAGGTGGCCTTCACGACCTGAGGAGTATATTCCATTGCGACATATTATCACAGCTCACTGCAGTGAAGGCTTTCGCATTCCCTGCTTCGTTTCCGTCGATACATTGACGTCATTTCTAAGGGAGCATCCAGCCAGATGCAACCCGTGAAAACAAAATGGCGCGGCGCCTTCATCAACGCGCTGAGCTCAGTATGCGCTCATGAGCAAAAAGCAAAACACATCCGTGCAGCGAACAGTTAGAGCCTTGGCTGGAAGCACACCCGTCAGGTGTTGCAGGAGCGTCACACCTAACTAGGAAAGCCAACCAAAGACCACAAACGCTGATCACAAGTCACTCTGCATGGAGCGCACACCGGCATCACTAGCAACCTCGCAGCGGAGCATTCCTCAGTTGTTAGGACACTCATCACGACGCGCGCGTCGCAAAGCTCGAGAGCACGAATTCAGCACGCCACGCACCGTACACATTCAAGAGGCGCAGTCATGGGCTTCAAAACACCGTTTGACCGCGCGTAACAAGGGCTCCGGCACGGTCAGGAGGTCGGTGTCCAGCTCCTCCCGCATCATCGCCGTCACGGCCACGTCAGGGGATGCTCCTGCGCGCCCTCTGCGTCGTCCGCTACCTCGTCCGCTTTGGGGTCGTACGGCAGCGTGTACGGGCACTCGCCGGCCTCCGACCCGAGCGGCGTCGGCTCGCCCTTATGGGGCGCCCGCGACAACCCCGACATCTATCGGCAGCCTCTCGAGGCTGGAGTTTCCGTGTGGCCGGCTGGCAGGCGGCCAGCCACGAGCGGCACTGAATACTCATCCTCGTCGTGCGTCGCATCACCGCACACGGACGGCGCCCGACTATCGCGCGCGGTTGAATTCGTGGCAGACAAGTCCTTGGCGATGGGCTTGGACGCGTCCAAAGTTGAGAAGACCTCATAGTCGGACTCGTCCTGGGCCAGCGAGACGGTCACGTCGGTCTCCATCGTGCTGACGCTCGGGTGAGAGCCGGGCAGCGGTGGCGGCTCCACCGGCAGAGGCTTTCGGTAGCTCGCTGAGAAGCTGGGCTCCTCGTAGATAGCCTCCCCTCCGCCAACCTCACTAGAATGAAGAAACAGGACACGGGCGTAACGGGCATAGAAGTGGTAGCATTAACAATGCGGTTTTGCGAACAGGCTTTGCTAATTTAATCTCCGCACTGACTATGGGGCGGGTAGATGTCCACTCCCGTAGTTTCTGGAATAGGCCCAGAATGGTTCACACTACTTTGAAACATAAAGTACTTTATCACACATCAGCGTCGAAAGTACCGTAACGTAGTTTTTATTAACATCCATGTCAGGTCAACAAACTAAAAATTCCGCTTGAGGCCATATCGGACCAAAACGTTGCTAACTATGACAAGTATTAGATATGCGTTATCACGTGGTTGCACCTTTATCTGGCTAGCTTTATTATTCATCGTCGTCACCACCTGCCGTCCAATTTGCATCGCAGTTGGCCTTCACTGTTTTTTTTTTCAGCGGCCTGTTCTCTTGCTGCATTAAGCGGAATTTACTTGTAGACTCGACAACATCCCTGTTCTACGCTTGGGTTGCACTTATGTCTGCGTAATGTCTAGGTCACTGTCTCAAGTTGACACATGCCTCGTACTTTTTATGAAATGTGCTATACTAGTGGTTTGTCCGAATTCGGTTGGCCCTAGATTTCATGGTATCGTTCCCTTATCTGTATGTACTTCCCACGTCAGGTCATCACAGAGCTGGCGCGGCACCCGGCCTATGCCAGGCGTAAGATTAAAACTTGACCAATGTACCCTTGGCACCTAGGTTCTCCGGTAGGAACGTCATGCAATCATTGTATTGTTCTCAGTTCAGAGGCATTATGCCTACCAGGAGGTATTAGTTTAACACCATTATCAAGCAAACATTGGTTGCATGGTTTTAATGAAACGTATCGTTCTTATAACATTGTTACCAATGCTTGCTTGATTACGTTCTGTTACCAGTACCTCCTGGTGTATTAAAGGTCGATTATACGATATTCAAACTTGCAACGCCGAGCAAATACAGGAGCTCAGGGCTTGTCTTACTTACAGGGCTTGTCAAGGAATACAACATACAGTGCTATGAAGGATATGAATAGATTCATCGCCTGTTTGTTTCAACGTGTAGCTTACAAAATTCACGCTACTCAAAGCCTAGCAGACCGGATATTTTGATATGATTACTACGCAAACGAATGCATGGGCACACGTTTACCAGACATTGTATAATGTAACTGTAATATTCCAACAGCAGTCCGTATGACTATGATTTCTTCTTGTCAAATGTCTTTCTATTCGTAGCGTTCGTGCGCCATTACTAGGTTTATTTCAGCGCAAAACTTACCGATATGAACTATGCAATCTATTAAACGCGCACTCCTTCAGTATATCGCCGTCTCTTGATCCCGTAACTCGATCCGCACGCGCGTACAGACCTGTACACATGCTCCTCCTCATCGGACTTGTAGATGGGGTTGTGGTTGAGTCCCCAGAACTCCATGAAGTTGTACGGCTCCGAGGCGAGCTTGTCGTCTCGCCTCCTGGCGTTGCAGACCAGCAAGACGGCTAGCACGGCCAGCACGACAGCGCCGCCCACAACGCCGCCAATGATGGCCCCCAGGTAGTCTGCCGACAAAGGCACTGCCGTTACAAGACACGTGAACGCTGGTCACGGACTGTTATGGTAATGCTGGGCCTCTTTTGATAGCGGCATTGATGCATTTGTACTTACGTATGTGTAAGCTTCCCCTGCTTACCTCAAAGGAAATAATTCGTGTACTTCTCCACATTCCGATTTTATCTCAACGAGCACCTGGTTAATCGCATGGCCGGCTGTTCGCTGAAGACGTCATTGTGGCTTGCTGGGTGGCGATCCGACCAATGCAAAAATTATCCACTGTGCAATGCAAATATTGAAATAAATGACCACGTTCTGGTTTATTTCATGCTGTAAGTGAACAAGGTAATTTTGTTTATCTACACAAGCGCTGCGGCCAGATTGTGGGCACTTAGTCGAGTGGTTCATTTGTGTAATCTCAGAAAGCTGATTTAGAAGATGTTTTGCCATGACAAATCAGCTACTTTTGCGAATCGGCCAGAAAACTGGCCAAAAAGCTTACGGAAATGAAATATCTTTCCTTCATCAACATCTCAATTATCAGAAACATAGCTTTGACAGTATCATAATGTTTGCGCGTTTATGCCGATGACAGATCATATCTGGGCGCCTGAAACAATTATTATAGTTAACCGCCTGCCTTCACGCAACTATACAAAAATGTGGACACACCCGATCACCGGACGCCCCTTTTGCACACTTGAGCTCAAGCGTATGAAGCCCCTTTGTAAGCATCCATCTAAGCACGCTGTGGCAATAAGTTGGCGAGTCTTGATCAATGGAGTTGCATGGAACCACATTTTTGTAACTGCTATAAACATTTGCATGATGCGCCGTACACGGCCAAAAAGACCACATTATGCAGTCCGTACGTTGGACGGATCGTGTCCTGCACGATGGATTTCGAACAGAAACAGCAGCTGAGAACGAGCATTCCGCATAAGGCTGGGTATTCGACAGACAAGGCTTTCGTTTCAGTCACGTTAAAATACATCTCCTCGTAGAAAATGTGCATTTGGAAGTGCGGAAATGATATGATGTATGAAACGGTTGATTGGGAAGTGGGCAGAAAGCATTTTGACAAATGGTGAACTGCTACTGCGAAAATTGTCAATTTAACATGAGCAGAAAAGGGACGCGAGCTTCTGTGTTTTTGATCATATCATTTTTAATCTGAAAAAAAATAATTTTCAATTTAGCAGGAGGTTCCGGCAAACATCACACAATCATCAGCATCACATAACCGTTGAGGCAGGCAGCATCATCATACTCTGAGAACAGGCCTGTCCCACGTGACGTTCGTTACTTGTCTGAGTCGGCTGGTCATACATTTTGCCCTGGGGAATTTCTGAAGAATCAGTCCTCATCCCCGCTTGGATTCCAGATACTGTCAACATGAATAGTACAGGCTGCCGCTCTAGCACGTCTTATTCTGTGATGTCCTCGCAGCGCCGTTTGACAATACTTATCTGCTCTGAGGGCAACTTTTGCTTGAAAGCAACTCAATGAAATTGACTCTGATTTCCCAATGTACTTACGTTTGTTTTTCGGCATTGGGCTGTCAGGAAGACTCTCCAGCACTGTGAACAACACAAAATGCTGGTTGGTGTCAAGCATGTCGTGCAACTTGCGTGGTAGGGATTAGCGAAAAATAAATGCTTTGAATATGCGAAAAAACGTACTTATGTTTTTTGTATTGCTTATTAGATTCATTCTTCGTAATACTCATTTAGTGAACAGTTCGGTGAGATTTGCCAGGATGAAACGATAGCCTTGTTAAGTGCAAGCCTGTTCGGAAAGATGGCATGCCATTTTGTGTGACAATGTAATTGAACCCAATTGCAGCCAGAAGTCGCTCAAAGTAATTGATCCTTCGCAAGAAACTCCCTAATCTGATCGACCTAGAACCAGCAATCTGTATGTTCCAAATAGCATCTGTACAACTCCAGCAAGTTCCAAACATTAACCTGCGTCATTATGCACAAAGAGATGATCATTTGATAAGTCGCACAGCTGGCGGACAGAGAGCAGGATCGACACGCTAGGAAAACAAGAAAAAATCGGGTAAAACCAAGTCTATCTTGCATTTTCATTTGTGCGTTTTTTAAAGTATGTGTACTCTTGTATTGCCTGAGGCCTATGTATTGCATCACTGTAAAGTCAGCCGGATATAGAACACAATGAAATATCATGTCACTGAAAAACGTTTTTCGCTTTAAGTTCTATTTTAAATAAGCACCTTGAGTAATTGAAAGCCTATTGCTTGCAGTAATTTGACCTTCGGTGCCCGACTTAAGGTTGTTTGCGACGTACTTTTTTCGTTACTGTTTTTTTTTCTCAAAATAAGTGCTTGGAGACTTCAACGATGCCTACAATATGCACGCTTCCGACGGAAAGAAACATTGTCCATAGACTCCCGTTTCAAACGAGAGAAAATTGTGATCATGGATAATGCACGCCAACTTTTTATAAGTCAGCTGCATTCTCCCATCGCGAACGCTGTGCCAAGAAATCTGAAACAGGAAGATTGCCTTTGCTTTCATCATGGAGGTCGAGTCAGGTAGCTGTTTGCACTCAATAGACGGCTAGAAAAATATGAAAAGCTGAAATCCTTTGGACGTCGGTTGCAACCGAAAACCAGTTGAAGTCCGCCACGGAACTTGAACTGCATTCAAAATGTTTTGGCATGGCTTCAACGTGAGCACTACGGAAACTCAAAAGAAGAGATGATCAGCTTGGGAAGGTTTCATTGAGCCCCGTTATTTGTCAATGGAAATTGTAACAGCCCCTGTCATGTTTTGGAACGTGACGAGCACCTACCTTTGATGAAGGGATAGCCTAATAATCATTGGTATGCCGACTTAAAACCCTAGCAGCCACATAATCATAACTGTCAAGGTTTCTCCGAGCCCCTATGAGCTTGGACCGAGTTTCTGCAGACCACCCATAAACTAGAGAAAGATTCATGACTTGGGGGGGGGGGGGGGGGGTATGAACTTATTGCCCTCCCCCGTGGCTACATTCCTGGACCCTAGATGGCTTTCGTTTAAATTTGATCTTTTCTTATCCATCAGTTGACACCCACCAATCTCGCAAACGACGTCACGCAACTCATTCGTAGCCCGCTTTAACACACTGCTGATACAGAGACACGAAACACCTGGACAGTGGTTCAAAAGGATCGATTGCGATTGTAACTCTTCACACGGATGGCACACTGCACATAATAATTTGATGCGCGCCTCCTTGGTACATCTGCAGCGGACCAGCGCCATACCGATCTGATGCGCAGTTTCTTGGTACATCCGTACCAGACCAGCGGGACACGTACTCGTCACAGGCGTTGTTTCCAGCTGGGCGTCGCAGAAATGCGGCCGAGTCCACTTGTGGGCACTGCACCGGATGTGGCCAGAGGTCCGCGCCGGGTCGTCGCAGGTCACGTTAATGACTTCGCCCTCCACTCTCGGCTGGGCCTGGGCGTAAGAGAGCCCTGCCTGTTGAGCCGGACTGCCGCAAACGCGCACCGCTGTGGACAGCCATTAGTTTAGACATGAGCCTAGCGCACGAAACGCAAGCCATGTCATTGTGCTCGCATGGCAGCATCATGTCCTAAAGCTGGGTGGTGTTGGGCCCTGGAGAATTTCTGATATGTATTGATGTCATATTGTCCGTATGTGGGGAATGACCTTAAGAATAGGCCGCGAAGGGAATCAAGTGGCCAAACCTGAAATTCTAAGAAAATATTCAAATGTTATCCACCTGTAGCATAGTAGCTACAGCACGCTAGATTCCCCGCAGCCATGGCCGCCGCAGACACAGCCAGAACTAATCCTGGTGGCGTTTTACCCTGAGTGATGGAAAAGTGAAGTGGCTACGCCTGTAAACCACCACGACCTTGCTGTTTAAGGCGGCAGAACACATCTCGCGCTCATATTTAGGAGCAGCGCTTACAGCATAGCTCATAAACAAACTAATGAATTTGAAAGTACACGATTTCAGATTCAACCCCTTTTCGCCACTCATAAATAATTCACCAGCTTGGCGTTTAGCCGCTATAATCGCTCACCGTATATTGCATTGGTGCTGGTCATGACCACGGCTTTGTTGCATACTTACATTTACATATGATTTGCATTCACCAGTTACTGACGGGAACAGAAAGCACAATATACTTCAACCAACGCCAGTTCAGAGCTAGCGCGCAGTAAAGGTACGTCAGATGCACGCACAAGCGGAGCATTATCTAAATACATCTATATGTCGGCTGACGATGGTGATCAGCTGTAAGCGAGGCTGGCCGCGGCGCCGAACGCGGCCGGACCGTACCTGGCGCGGCGCCGAACGCGGCCCCGGACCGTACCTCTCTGACAGATGAACCTGTAGCGGGCGCTGCAGGGCGCAGGGGCGACACCCCAGCCGTGGCGGCGCCGCAGCGCGAGGGCAGCCGCCTGGCCTCCCCGCCCCGTACGTGACCGATTCCGCTCCTGTGCAGGAACGGCGGGGTCAGAGGCCGGTGGTTATGTCAGCACTTACTGGGCACTAGCACCGAGTCAGTTCCGAGTTTCGACCCCGAGTGACCCGATTTCGTCATTAGTCTGCAGTGCTTCTCTCTTTGTGGCGGGCATCATGCAATTACGAACTGAATTCAACTGGCCCGCTCAATGTTAATCTCCAGCTATCCCCGGTTGGACACCGAACGATTGGCTATCCGCAAGGGATGGCGAACCAATCGTGAGGAGGCGGATGATGAAAAATAAAAGCAAACCAAGGATCCAAGCCATGGCTTTGGGATTCACAAATTCATTCCGCTGATCATTCGGTCAAAATACCTCTGTGAGGAACATAACAGATACATAAAACAGTATTTCAGCCTTATTCATCGTCGCAATACCAGGGAAAAGGAGAGACGAATGCATTAATTTTTCAGCTACATGTCTTTGTCATAACGGTCATAAACAGTAGATTAAAAATTGTCTGCCGTTACTATCTGAGCTTTCAAGATCTTTTTATAAAAAAGCCACAGGTTTTACACGTCGTCAACATTCGGGAAATGAAATAAAGTGCACTCGCCAGCCACGTCTGCAATACGGTGCATATTTCACCGAGGATTGGCAAATATCAAAGTTCGCGGGCTTGATAAAGGGCTCCTTGCCTAGCGTTGTGTGGTTATCCCCCTCCCCCTTATATCGTCACTATTGCGGCCAAGTATGGCATCCCCTTTCGTCCCTGCATGCCCGACAGTGAAGGCAAAATTGGAATGCTGGCTGTAAATAAGCTCTAAAAAAAATTCAAGGTCGCGCTGTCTGTGCGTCCATACTCAAGCATAATCATCGATACATCTAGGTAAGAAGGTTGATTTTAATGAGCTGGCGGCTGAGGCCTTCCTTTCAAATGAGTCTAAAGATTATTATCACCGGAGGAAGGGGCGCATGGTTACCCATTTATATGCTCTATTGTTGTCATTGGTGGTCATCCCGAAGCGAGAAAACCTTATCCTGAAGACACTATTCTAAAAGACCGCAGAGATCCTTCTTCGACAGAGAAAAGGCATCAACTTCATTGAAATGGTCGTCTATCTTAGCTTTTGACGACAGCAATAGCCTCATCGCTTGGTATATTGTCATATGAAGTAACAACTCTGAAGAAAATGCTCCCCTATGTTAACCCCTTTGCCTGTGAATGATTGATTGATTGAACGTGTGATCAGTCGCACAAAATAAAAACTGAATAGGAACGCAGTGCCCCAGGGCAGAGGCTAAACAAAGCAAGATACTGAAGAGCGTAACTAGTGGGGTTTTTCGGGCAAAACCAGTTCGAAGCTTAAGCATCCGGGGGGCAATAGGTGTCATCTATACAAGTCGGGTTTTCAAGGGCTTTGCATGTAGGAAAACGTGACTTACGAGATCAAGTGTAAACTGTACGAACAGCATGGGAGGAACATAGTCTATGTCGGGGGGTCCATGCGCCTTATTCGTCTGCGATATGACCCTGCTAATGGCCGGCTGGCATTGTGTCCGTACATTACCTGTTCTTTGCTGATATTGCAAATAAGTTGTTACAAGTACAGTAGTTTGCGGTACAGGGGTCATTGTTTAATCACATGAGACGGTACGACCGGGAGATTCTCCCACTGCATGCACAAGGTTGTATGTCTCCACCTGAATCATGCATGTCGTCTGCTTTTCCGGCTGTCCAAATGTCAGAGACTCTTGTCAGCTTTGACTTTCGTCGATGCCTGAAATGATAAGTAGGTATTAAGATTGAGTCTGATTTTCATGAAAAGTTCTCGGTAACAGATGAAAGGCGCCGGATAAGCCACGTTCTAAGCTTCCTTGAGCACGCCGTATTAGCAACAACGGCCTTCGGGTTCGAGAAGCAGCTTTCGGGCGCGACGCTGTTGCAGACGACCTTGAAGCGCCGGCCCTGACCTGAGTATGTCGATGACCATGTCGTGCAGTCCGGCCGAGCTGTCGCGCATAAGCGTTCCCTCGGAGCCGAGCCGGTGGCACTCGTCTTCTGCCAGCTGCTGAGTTAGCCGGCTGCTCACCAGGTGGTAGCACCGGCCGTCGGCAGCCCACGTCTCGGCTATGTTCGGCCGACCGACATCATCCAGACACTGGTGCTTCGACAAACCTGTGGACATCAGAAATGAGTTGTAATACCTTCGGATATGTTTTAGCGACTTCCTGGCTTTTTTACAACAGTGTGCGTATATTTTACGGAGATTAAAATGACTGCAGGCACCGGCTAATTGTCAGCAGCGACATATGACAGACAAAAATTGATAAACCAAGCTGTTTTGCACTTTTGCAGTGAGCAATGCGTGTTTGGTATATATTGAGACAGAAGCCTATTTTGTGTCAATTTCTGGGAACAGTTATGTCATACCAGAAAACTGACCCTTTTCGTGAACAACGAACGTACCGTACCTTCCACCCCAACCAGATACCAAGGAATCGTACCATCTACTGAGGAAATATTGTGGGGGGGGGGGGGGGAGGTCATCCAAACAGTTTCAGTAGCTTCCTTCCATGCCATGCCCATTGCAAGGCTTGTCAGCAATCTCCTTTTATCTGATCATCTCTGTTCATGCCTGCAACTATCGCAAATGCAAAGAATGGAGACCAATATAACGCACACACCACATTTCCTGATGCAAAAGGTTTGCCGCTGCCACATTTGGTCGGTAGGGATGGGTCGGTATAGATGGGCAGGGGTGCGTTTCCTCGTTCAAGAGGTTGTCGCCTACCGGTGCTCTCAGCGACAATCTGCAGCTCGTGCAGGGGCCAGACGGGCGAGTAGGAGGCCCGCCTGAAGTAGTTGCCGCTCGAGTGGAACAGCGACACCTTGACGAAGCGGGCGCCGCCCTGCAGCACAGTGTTCTGCAGCGAGATGGTGTGCACGGCCAGGCCCTGCTGCCGCCGCTCGGACTGCTGCGGCGCCTCTGCCGGCCGCCAGGCGGCGTTAGTGGCGCGCGGCTCTGCCACCGACCGGATGGGAAGGTCGGAGACGGGTACGTCCGTCGCCGACGGGGCGGGCTCGCCACTGAGGGGGCGGACTTGTCCCTGGCGGGACGGGTCCGTCGCTGACGCGGCCGGCGACCATACAGGCGACGTGGATGGACGGTCTGTGCTAACGTGGCAGGAAACTGAGCCGCTGCCGGGTCGGGCCGCCGGGAATGCCACTGCCCCGTCAGACGTTACTAACGCCATAGGTCCATCAGTGACCGACACAGCGGGTCTGGGTGGCACGATGAAAACGCATTTGAGCCCTGAACCGTGGCTCAAAGTATATTATCAAGGCCGAGATGTGATTGAGTTCAAGGTGCGATCACGGCTTGAGAGCCAACCTTACAAGCTGACACGACCTGCTGGATATTTTTGAAAATCATATAAGAAAAGAAACATAAATTCCACCAAACAGACGCGTCACGTAGATACTCACCGACTGACATGGATATGCCTATCCAAGAGATGTTATCGTCGCTGAGTCTGATCTGAATGTTCATTCCTGAAAAAATTGCTTTGTCATAATTTTGTGGAGTGTAAAAACAGATAGGACTTGTAAAATATCAATTTTCAGCCGGAGGAAATGCGCATTCCGTCTGGTACACTTACATGATAGGGTATTTAAGTGAACGTTAGCCTAAGGAACATACATACAGCGCACATAATGGACATACATACAGGCGCCTCCCACCTATACCACACTACTATCTAAGATACTATACAACTGCGAGAGGTACTGGGCCTACCAACGCACATAATAAGCCAAATAAAATGTTTTTATTGTGCCTTTCCACAGTGCGAGCCAAGGCTGTGTAATAAAGAAGGTTCTGTAATAACGACCGAGAAGACCATTTGCACTCCAAAAGTATCGCTGCGAGCCCACCCAATAACCAATGCCGGAAATATTTTTCATCCTGCATTTTGCCCTCCGGCGTAATGGCTTGACTTAAGTAGACATGTACGAAAACTGTGAATGCTGATAGCTCAATGCAATTATTGTCCCTTGGTTTTACAGTGCACTCAACAGCTGAGGTTTTATGGTGTCGCATGGCTATCCGTCATCCGTTTTTGTCGGCCTATCCGTGTTTAGGATAGGCGGACACTTAGCTTCTAGAGGTCAGTCTACGTCGGTCGGAGGGGTGCTTGTTGGAAACAGTGTACCACGGAGCAGTCATTTACACCATAATTCGTGAAATGGTCCTCATAACAGGTACGCGCTCTACGTCAGCAGGTGACCTATGTGGTTCACCCAACCCATAATGGTCAGAAAGGCCGAACACGGCCAAAGTTCTCCGAAATCTGCTGAGGAGGGGAGGGACATTCAGAAAACCAGATAACGGTGACGTGCTTGCGAACTTGCCAACTTTTAACCCACTGCGTTGGGAGCAGTGGTTGGAAAGGACTTGAAGGGCTTGTCAATAAATATTTTTTCGGTGTGTTTACAGGCACCTCACATGACGTTTTAGCACGTGCCCCAACGGTCCCAGCGTAGGCAGGCGAACCAGATGATGAGAAGTGGTCCTTTGGACAAAGCAACCAAAGGGTCCATGACTCAAACAACGATTTCGTACTGAAGATGGCCCGATGCCTACGAAGATCCCAGTAATATATCAATTTCAGACATAGCTTTGTTGGTCTGGAGACATTCAGTCTCTGGGGCGGTATAAATGCTGGCAGATTGCTCACAGGTGTTGAAACATCGGGCCTTCTTGGACTGGATTAATGTGCCAAGACAATAAAGAGTTAAGACGGATTTTAGTAGAGTTCTGTAATGGTGGATTGGCATAACTATACTTTTTCTCCTGGCGCAGAAAAATTGGTGACTATACTATGCAACATGAGATCCACGCAGGATTTTTCGTTCTTTATGTGTCGTTGCTTTTCAATCTAGCAACAACCCGGTGCCCATTACACGGCGCAATGATTTCGGCAATTATTTCAGAAAGTGACACCAAAAGTTATTGCCACGGTCTGTTGTGCCAAACGTAACTTCACCGCAGAGAAATACTATCGTTTTGTTACATATACATATATATATATATATATATATATATATATATATATATATATATATATATATGTGTGTGTGTGTGTGTGTGTGTGTGTGTGTGTGTGTGTGTGTGTGTGTGTGTGTGTGTGTGTGTGTGTGTGTGTGTGTGTGTGTGTGTGTGTGTGTGTGTGTGTGTGTGTGTGTGTGTGTGTGTGTGTGTGTGTGTGTGTGTGCCTGTGTGCCTGTGTGCCTGTGTGCGTGCGTGCGTGCGTGCGTGCGTGCGTGCGTGTGTGCGTGCGTGCGTGTGTATGTACATCAATACAGGACGACAAAACAACAATAATAAAAATACAGTATCTCAATGCCTTTCTCGATTAAAACAAGTTAACTATCCATGGCACTGGGCGGAACAAGCCCGGGGTGGGTTTACGATGCGCACATCAAGCTTTGCCTGTGAGGCACTCTCCGTTGAAACCACTCGGAACATAATTATTTATAAAAACTAAGCTATAATCATTAGTGAAGGTAAAGTGTAACGCCGTTAAGTACCGAGGTGCACAGACAAAATAAGTGGGAACATGTGCGGAATGATTCAGAAGCGGCAGAATTCTCAGCCTTTAACCAAAGAACTATACCCGACAGACCCAGCATATTAGCCTAAAGCACCACACGACAATGTGGGTGCCTCTATCCCTGGATTCCTTATCAGGTCAAGCGCGATTGCAAAACATTTTTGTCCGGCATGGTGCTCACGCGCAAGAGCAGCACAGTTAATGGCTTCAGGGTGAAGGCCGTATGACAACCACGAGCAAGATGTTGGGCGTTTAAGTTGTTGAAACTTCGCTAGCATTTCCTTTGTTTGCACTCTGGCATTTTAAAGTTCCGTGAAAATTGAGGATACTACGAAACATGTCACTTATGTTAAACATGCGGTGATTATCAGCTTGTAGTTGCTGTTTTCAAAGCATGCCTATAGACGCCTCGATGTAAATACTCCTGAATCAAAACACCAGCAACGCTGAACCAAACAAGTCGGAAAAAAGCACGAACTACGAGCATAACACCATACTGCATTGACTTAAAACATCTTGTTCAGCCACACAGACAGGTGGACTCACGGGCCAGGTTCAGCTCGTGCACAGCACACGCTGCACTTTCTCAGAGCACGAGAGGATAACCTGTTTTACCTGTGAGGTTGTAAAACGTGATGATCCTCATTTCGAGCAGCGGGTAGACAAAGAAGAGGTCCACGAAGAGAGACCGTCCGCCCTCGAAGAGCGCCAGCAGGTCGTCCGACGTGCTGAGGTCGCCGTCCGCCAGATTGCTGTGTTGGGTCGCCAGGCTGGAGTGCTCCGCCGCATTCAGATCTAAGTCCGGTCAACGACAGAACCCGCTGATGTCGCGGTCACGGGACGCGCAAAAGGGCGGCGGCGGACGAAACGACGAAACGGTGGGGTTGTGTCGCGGTGATGACGCGTTTTGTGGTGTCTGTCAGCACTGCGGACGGCAAGCGTCGTAGCACTCTAACTTTTCGGGCACTTGAACTATTTATGGCGAGGGCCTGTCACGTGCCTCACTCACGCTGGACGGTCAATGGCAGTAAGTGAAATTGGGTACAGCGGAAACTGGGGGCTTGCGCCGGACCATGGCATCCTGAGCCTTGGACTAATGCCTGGAGCATTTTTTTTTTTATCCCTGGACACAATGGCGTTGAATGTTTCAGGTATTGGATGCCGTTTAATGGCCTCACGGCGATGGCAGCTATTCGTACAACTCCGGTATTAAACACGCAAGCTTCTTACAATAGTGACGAACAGATAATTCTGAAAATGTTCTTGAGTTCATATAAACTCGAATAATATTGAACGAGCTGGCTGCCAACACCCAAACCCTGGTCCAGATAGTCAACCTGTCGCGTGTCCACAGCGTGAGCCCCTCACTTCGTGTCACAATCCCACCAGCAGCATGACTCACAGCAGTGAGGGGCCGACCCCGTCCACTGGCCCTCTGGGAGACAGGTGCGGACGGGGTCGCCGATCATCAGATAGCCCGGATCACACGAGTAGCGGGCCCAGGTCCCGGACGGCAGCCGGCCGCTGGCGTCGGCCGCCTGTGGCCCAGGTAGGTAGAGCCCCTCCGACTGCCGAGCCGGCTGGCCAGACGGCGGCGCCGCTGATGGCTGCGGGGGCTCGGAGAACACGACCCGCGAGAGGGTGTTGGCACCGGGTGGGCGGCAGCCGATCACCTCTGGCGGACAAGGGGGGCGTCAGCGGCACACATCTGGCAGCGGTCATCGCAGCCAGTGGCCACGGCAGACGGAGAGTCCTGAAAGACAGCGGTCACTGTGAGCAGCGATCGCTGCAAACGGAAGGTCCTGGAAGACAGTGGTCATCGCAGATAGTGGCCACGGCAGACGGAGGGCCCTGGAAGACAGCGGTCACCGTGGACAGCGATCACGACACATGGAGGGTCCTGGAAGACAGCTATCACCGCAGACAGCGATCACGGCAGACGGAGGGTCCTGGAAGACAGCGGTCACTGTGGACAGCGATCACGGCAGGCGGAGGGCTCTGGAAGGCAGCGACCACCGTGGACAGCGATGACAACAGACGGAAGCTCCTGGAAGACAGCGGCCATCGCCGACAACGATCACGGCAGACGGGGTTCATAGCGGGGACGGGTATCGGGAGGCGAAGGTCGCAGAAAACGGGGTCACGACATGCTGAGGCTGTAGAAGGCAGGGGTCACGGAAAGCGGAAATGTCGTCATCATGAACGCCCACATGGCTGGCTTTGTTGCTTTCAGTTCCATGAACTGCATCATTATACACTGTCGCTATCTTTAGTTTGCAAGACCAAGTGATGCGTGAAGTGGCTAGCGTGGCGGTTTCTCCAGCCAACTGCAGGGCAGCAACCCGAAAGCAAAAGATTGCAAGCCTTGCGTGCAGAGCATTTATTTTGAGGCGCAATAGGCGATTAAATGCAGTTTTGTGTTTCTACGTCGCCGTCGGCCCCTGATGCTGACTGCGTTACGATCCCGGAACGCCACGCGGTTGCTATGATCGCTGGTTTTCTACACGAAACCTTGCGACCAGGGCTGTCACACTGTTTATCAATAAGATCGGGCCTTTTTAGATGTCCCACAGAAGCAATATCATTTGCTCAATCCGTACCCCTCCAAAAGATCTGATTTCCAGGAGTATTGCGGCTTTACGCTTTGCCTTTCGCAGTAAGTCGTGGGATAAAAACCAGCCAAAATAAAGTTATTTCCACATGGTACCAAACCCCAACTCGGCCCATGTTAAGACCAAACGTCTGCAGAATTATTTGTCACGGAATGCTGTAGCAGCTGTCTACTCTTTCACGCAGAACGGTCAGTCAACACTAAAAAACGGCGTTTAGTTAAACGCGTGGAAAACTGTAACGCAGTATATTCATTCACATAACATAATGTTGTTGCCTAGGAGCTTTTCTCTACACTGCTAACATTCTGAAACGTTTAACGTGAACACCGACTCAATGAAAGACGAATGCCACCTGGGGATATTTTCATCGTGGATATCTTCCGTTCATAGCGTTACAGCCGAGGACAGCATGTAAAATCGGCAATCTTTCAGGTGTTCGGGGCTTGCTTAACCGCTTTGAGAATCTGAACATTCCGCCCATCCTCGAAAAAGTAGTTTAGAGCACGATTTTATGGGATCCAACCGGCAAATCCTTTGACTGAGAACGTCTCTTTGGTGGGTTCTATGCGTTGAAGAAATCACCTGTCACACAATACAGGTGTTCTGCCACAGAGCTGTGATGTTGCCAGGACAGACAGCTGGTACGAAGCAGTGCCGGTTGTGACGGACAGGCGTCAATGTTGTCGAGATGGAAAGTGGGCACTGGCAATGACATGTGTCTGCACCAATGACTGACTATAAAGTATTACACCAATGCGGCCATATGGACATTGTAAATGTAATCCATTAGATGGCGCGACGAACGCATAAAGCACAGCACACAGCCCGTCAAACCAGACACGTCGTCGTCCCCAGAGCATCGCAGACAAGTGACACAAGTCTTTCTCAGTGACTGACTGCCTGGCCGAAACGGATCGGCCACGCGAGTGTCGGGCGCGCGGGAATGCGATCGCCTGCTGAATTCGCGCAAAATGATGCTGCGTGTTCACACGACCACGTAAACTCATTTAATGTTCGCCGAGTGTCAGCCACTTACATCGCATTTGCGGATGTGTTCTAGGAGGCTGACCCACTTGGAGGCCGTGCATCCTAATAAGTGGTCAATTCGTTGGTCCCCTAATTCGGTGAGTTGTTGGTGCGCTGCCAGACCGCAGCGACTACGAATACGGAAGGGGAGGGACACCGCTGCATTACTTTGTTACAGGCAACGCGCGCCTGAAAAGGTTGCGGGCAACCCGACCCGTTACCCTTTAAACTCGTTAAGCATAGTTCACCTTGAGACGGACTCTTGAAGTCGTGCTGGTCGTGGGAGATTACATCTGCTTGGTAAAATATTCAACGGCTTGGAATGTGGTTCGTTCACTTGGTATATAACTGGTTCACTTGGAAAAGTTGAGAAGAAACGGCGATGAGCATTCTGTAAAATGCTTATGGGCTTTCATTGGGTTTACACTTTGAGTACTTTGCTTAGTCTAACGCATATGTATGCGCACAATAAACGATACTAGCGCGCAGGGCGCTTAGATATCGTGATGCTGAAGCTTCGCATGTTCCCTCGATTACGGCGAGTTGCTTCGTTGGTTCTGCGATCTCTCGGCCGATAGACAGCGAGTAATGACTGCATGTGTTCGCGGAACACGCGAGGCTCGTTTCGTGTGGACATATTCGTTTTCATGCATAACGACGCCAGACTTGTCGAAGAAAGCTCCTTAATGCGCCGGCCGGAGCCGGTCGCGCCTGGCGTCGTAGTACCATAACACACTCGGTAGATCTCTGTGATCTATTTCATGCCAGCGCTAGCCCGCATGTGCCTCACGGATCCGCCTGCAGACCCCATCAGAGCTTCTGGAAGGGAGGGGGGGGGGGGGCATGGTCAACAACAGCCCGCGGGACAGCGCCTCCCACATGGTCTGTCCGGTCTGGCAGGGGCGGGCGGGCGCAGACCAGTCTGAGTGGCAGACGAACGCAGCCGTGGGTCGAAGCTGAATCATCACCGCGTCCGGTGGGAAGAACGGCCCGACAATAAGACACGCTGCAGGCCGCGGTCGCGTGCACGACGCAGGAATACGCCAAACGGAGCCGCTCGGAGGCTGTGCCGAGCGCAGCTGTTGGTGTTCTGTGGTGCGGTGGTCTCGACCGGCGCTCTGGCCGCCCGCGTCGCTGAGTCATAACGGAAACGCCGGCGACTGCGTGCATTTTTCCAGCGAGCTCGCAGGAAACTTCCTCCGGGGCTCCAATCATAGCTCTCACGAGATTCAAGCAATATCTTGGGTCTCGATATTGCGGCAGCTGTCCATGGAGCATGGACAGACCAGGCGGGGCAGGTGCCAGCTTAGGGATGTTTTTTACATATCGGTGCAAATCGGTAGCACCATGACGCTTCTTTGGGAGGAAAACTGGACAAAGCCAGCTTTCGGAAACGGATGGAACGGTACGTACATGGAAGTCTGAGTGGGCATTGTTTTTGTTCGTCCTAAGTACGTGACAGTGCGTGAAAAATCTGTGTGATGGAAGTGACTGATTCATTAATAATTTTATTATTAATTTCCGTGATTTACCCCCAAACTGCCATAATTATGTCAGCTTGTGCTTGATAACAGCATAAATATACTTCCATGCGAACGATGCATGCTGTTCTGCAAAAGTAAATATCATGACATCACTTGCACGCACACACACACACACACACACACACACACACACACACACACACACACACACACACACATATATATATATATATATATATATATATATATATATATATATATATATATATATATATGCACACACCGCTCAACTTCTCGCTTTGTCGAAAGGCTTAGATGCCCACCAAAACTGTTTTGACGCTGCAGCAGTACCCCCCATAAGCAGAGTTTAATGCCAATACTCTGACGAGCGAACGTCAGTCATTGAAAACAATCAAAGCTTCGCGTGCATTTTTTTCTTGGTTTCTCCAGTAGCACCGGATATGAGAAGCTGCCACTAATTGCTGACCGAAGAGGGGCGCCTGGATCGACGCACTAATTTCTCTCATAAATTCATATGGACGGAGGCATGCGCGTGGCATTTCTAAGCTAATGAAAACAGGTTCCTTCCCGTTGCGGGTGTCCGTCTTAGGCGCAGGTATTATGTGATAATGACATCTCTGTCTCACAGATGGAATAACTGTTTGTGCCATCTAATCCTGATTCTGATTTGATGTCTTTTCCTCCTGATTGCGAGCCCAGCGTTCCACCAACCGATCCAACCGGAATGCCCTTTCCAGTCTGCTTACATTTGCTAGCACTGGGCCCGCGATCAGAAGACCCTCATCTGAATTATAATACCTACATTTGTGACAATTTGCGTTGTGACGCACGCATGGCCACAAGCAAACATCATCTTGCCAGTCGTTTGCGGGACTCAATAACACGTGACGATGACCGTACAGTTAATTGGCCGAAACGTTGCGTACATACTATCGTACCCAACAACAAAGTCCGAACAGGTCCCCCATCCGTGATGCTAATGTTTCATTTCCTTCCGTAAAACGGCATCTCTGACGGTGATGTTTTTTGTGCCTGTCTTTGCCTGCATATGTGTCTTTATAAGGGCCCCCTATAAGGGCCCCCTCCTTTCTCAGTTCTTTTTCAAGACTTCTAGATGAGTCTGCGTGGCACATCGGCGCTGTGCTCGATACCATACATCTTTTGCAAGTGTTTGATGCAACCGCTTCTCCTTAACGGGTTCCAGTGCGTTAAATGATTAAAGGATTGTCGCCAGCAACTCCCGTCTAAAAATGATAGTCGTTCAGGGTCAACGTCAGGTAAGTTATAATCCTGAAATAAACACCAAAGTCGTGGGACCCCAACAGCGCAAACTGTGTAATCGGGAGAAAACCTATGCTTCAATGAGGCTGAGATCGCACCAGATTAAAGGCTCAAAATAGACCCAAATAACTTTTCTAGACTCTCTACGTTGATAGGTGCATTATTTCATCAAGAATGTATCGCGTTCCAGAACACTTGCGAGTAACTTCATAGACCGTCAAAGACAAGGTCTTTGACCGAAGGCTTAAAAGATGATAAGAACATTGGAATACTTCTTCGGATGGATTTTGGTCCAGCAGAATCAAATCGATCCGCTGGGCGAAATCGATCCTGACCCGACCCACGGTTCATAGGGGTGACTTCGACAACCTCTCCAAGTGCATGCCATAATGTGGGGTCGACTTGGACTCGATTCAAGTATGTTTGGTTCCATTCCGGAACCGATGCCGACGACAGCAGTTGAACAGGTGGCGCGTCATGTGAGATGCATGAACTTGTGCACATGTTACGCAAGTACAGGCCAGACTTACGATGCTACACTTACGATGCAGTTTCTCTGCGGTCTCAAGCTGTAGTACGCTGTTTGATGTCAGCTTTCAGTTCTCGAGTCGTGATCACACTGAGAGTCAGCACAATGGAACCGAGTCACATCGATTCGGACTTTGTCCTTACTAGCAGTTAAGCCGTCATGCAGTGGAAGTGGCTATTGTTCTTCGACGTGATTTGGCCGAGAAAAAGTAGCATTGGAAAAGGCACAGATGAAGTGCAAGCTGTCATGCAGACCGGTGCAAATAAAAGAGGCATTAGAGTTGAGCCTGAATAAATGACACGAAAGTTGCAGCGAGAGGTCATTGCGTCCAAACATGCTGTAAATAAATCAACTGGAACCAGCGCGGTTGGGACAGGTGGAACAAAGGTAACAACTCCCATATGCATATCGGGCTGAGCACAGATCTGAACGCGTCACAGGCGTCACAACATACCTGCCTGAGCTGAGCCGGAGCATCCAAGCAACGTAATCACAGTGAGCGCCAGCAGCCGGCGCCGTGCCGATACCGCCGTCATGCCGGCGGGCCGCCCAGCGGATTCCCGCCTTCTGTCCGGCAGCCTCGCCAAGCGCTCGGCTTCTGTCCGCTTCAGCGCAGTCAGGGGCGCCGCGGACGTCTCCCGGCCGCCCAGCACCCGCCGACGCACTTCGTCGTGTCCGGATGGCGCCACTCATCCACCGCCCGGCACGACCTCGGCACTATCTCCGGACGGTTCCGTCGCTGTCGGCGCCGGCCCACCACAACTGAGGCGGTCGGTTCCAATAAGCACAAAAAACGGCGCCTGCCTGGAGATATCCGGCGGTCGCTGCAGGCTCGATATCAAGCCAGCAGCGGGCACGGACGCCGCCGAGCCGCCGCCGCCCGCTCAGTCCTCCTGGGCGCCCGCCGCGGTCACCGAGAGGTCACAGAGAGGCGCCGCGCCCGGACGTTCGAACGGCGCTGACTAAGAGGGGCGTGGGTGGCTGCAGGTCACCGGCATACCCGATGAGCCTGACTAGAGCATCGGCCGATCAGTCCAGCAGCTCGGGACCACCGATGCCAACCGGTGCGTGGGAATGCGGTTTATCCCAGCGATGCACGGGCTGGTCCAGATCCGTTGTTGTCCAGCACACCGACTGAAAGCGCATGGTAGTAGATCTTTCAACGTGGAGGCACTCGCATCATCACTCGCGTGGCGCCCAGAAGAACCAATCTGGCACCTTGTTGGTGCACTTTTGTTGTTCCCTCGTGCTGCTAGCGCCACCACGAGCCACACCGCGCGTGCGTGCCGTCTCCTCACCCGCTGCTGCCACCACACCTCCTCACACGTCCCGGACCTGTCGTGCCCGACCACCGTCGCTGCCCGCTGCCGGTGAGCTAAGCCGGCTTCGCCCCCACCGCTGCGGCGACTTTTCCCAGCCCTTCCCAGCCAAGGTCAGCAACTCTGCCAGCACTGCCGGACCGCTAGCCGGCGCCTCGGCCGCCGCAGCCGGCTCCGCTCGCGGCGAGACCCACCGCACGCGGCACACGTGCGGCCCGCGACGGGTCGCACCGGCTACTGGGGCCCGGCGGGGCGCGTGGTAAGGTGGGAGGTGAAACTGGCCGGCCGGCCGCGGCCCGGGACGTCGGCGGGGTCGGTCGGCCCGGCCGGATCAGCCTGCCGCCGCCGGCCGGCCATATTTGCCGAACGGCCGGAACCGGGGCCGGCTCAGCGGTGGCCCGCTTCATGCAGGTATGTACGCGCGGGAGAGCTACGCTCGCCGGGGAAGACTGGAGTTTGGTTGCTTAACCTCGGTTTATGACCCTGTCGTCAGACTGGAACACGTGGAATACAGATGATGTTAGGTAATGGCAGGCGCTGTGGTGCAGCTGCCGACAGTTCGAAGGCATTCAGGAAGATAAGCTATCAGATGCGTACTCGCCGGACAGCGGCAGGGGTGTTTTGACACGCATAGGCCAAATATTCTGTCCATGCCCCAATAATAACGAAATAAGGAGGCCGTGCTTAGAATGCGGAGTTACCGAAATACGTAGTGCTTGTGGGCTAATTACACAGGGCGTTGTTCGGATTCGTTGCAAAACACGCAGGCGCTGTGCTAACTCACAATGCAGAGACCGCGCAGAGAACCGCGCTGCGCAATGCGGTGAAGTTAACGCGTTCGAGTGCAGCATGCAGAGACAAGTGGGTGCCGATTTCAAACAAACGTTGCAATGCGCGAAAAAAGCATGCCACAAAATCCGCCGTGTCACACTTGTCTTATCAGGACTGAGAGCACTGCACAATGTGAAATGTTTCAGATGCCCAGCGCCTATCATTTTCATAATGCATGATGCTGCATCCTATCGTTAGATCCACTTGCAACACGTTCCGAATATGTCTTTCGCTGGACGGCAGATGGTGAGGTTTCCCTGACTTGATCAGCAAGGACGTGCCTTATCGCGTCTCACTTGGAATGTGCACGGCGTGCCGACCCCGCCACTGGTACGCCCTCTGAAGCACGCGATCACTGGTGCGTGCTCTGAAGCAGAGGGACACTGGTACGTCCTCTGAAGCAGAGGGACACTGGTGCGTCCTCTGAAGCAGGACACTGGTACGTCTTCTGAAGCAGAGGGACACTGGTACGTCCTCTGAAGCAGAGGGTCACTGGTGCGTCCTCTGAAGCAGAGGGACTTTGGAACGTCCTCTGAAGCAGAGGGCCGCTGGTACGTCCTCTAAAACAGAGGGTCACTGGTACGCCCTCTGAAGCACACGACCACTGGTACGTCCTCTGAAGCACACGGCCTCTGATACGTCCTCTGAAGCACACGACCACTGGTGCGTGCTCTGAAGCAGAGGGTCACTGGTGCGCCCTCCGAAGCACACGACCACTGGTGCGTGCTCTGAAGCAGAGGGTCACTGGTGCGCCCTCTGAAGCACACGACCACTGGTGCGTCCTCTGAAGCAGATGGACTCTGGAACGTCCTCTGAAGCAAAAGGACACCGGTATGTCTTCTGAAACAGAGGGCCGCTGGTGCGTCCTCTTAAGCAGAGGGACACTGGCGCGTCCTCTGAAGGGCATGGCCACTGGTACAGGATCGCTGCAAAACTTGGTGCGGCAGGACGAAACGCAATAATGGTTTGGGACAGGGGTGAGATAGAGAAGAGCAGAAGGTCGTGATGGCACCAGATGTTTCAGTTGGACACCCAGTTAACTGAAAAGGACTTGGCCCACCCTTAAAATTCAATTGCTCCCCAGGCTCGGGCTGCTGTTTGCCTTGGAAAGTGTTATCTAAAAGTGAGAATGGCTCCCACCCAAAATGGTCAGGGTCTACTTAACAGCCAAAGGACCCTAGACGCTCAGAATTCCGAGATAGTCGAAGATCACAAGACAGCCAAAGGTTCCCAAAATGGTCATGGGATACGAAGGTGTCCAACAGCGTACGAAACTGTCGAGTTGACCCTGGACGCGTTGGTGCTGAAGCGATCGAACGACCTCCATACAAAAGGACCCGCAAAAGCTCTAGACATCGAGATTCTTATAGAGTTTTAACTGGTGCAACGAGTTAGGGGCAGTGAAGTGAACGGTAAATGTCGAGAACACAAATCGGTTTTCCCGAAACCAACAAGAGGCAAGTGATAACTGATAAGGCACGGTGGGGTCTTTGCCGGCACCGAAGACGGTGACTGGGCCCCACCGCGCTTGAACCGAACGTTGACATTTGCCATTCGAAACTGACCGAGGGCCCTGCACGTTTGGGGCTTCCGATACCTCAAAAGCTGTTCAATAATCAGGAGCTTTGAGATGATCAAGCACCGAAAGGTTCCTGGGGGTCACACCCTTGTGAAGAGGTCAATGTGGTCAATGCGCAGCCAAGGGGCTCTGCAGGTTGAGCGACCCCGGGTCAGTCGGGACCGATGGACAGACGGCCAGTAGAGATGAGCGGATGTGATAGAAGGGACGTGGCGGGTCCAGCCACGGACCACCTAAATTACCATACTAGTCAAACATAAGCCATTCGGTGACGCAAGACAGGAGCTGTGATCCAGAGCCAATCGACGGTCCAAGTTTGACCGAACGCATCCCAGGTCCGAACCCAGCGGACTGGGCCAGCCATGGCCGGCCGTCGGCTGGATTAAGGCCGTCCGGGCGCCGCCGACAGACAACGAAAGCTGGTTCTGTCACCGCGCCAGGGCTGTGACGGCTATCAGCAGACTGCAAAGGCTAGGTTACGGTTAGGAGTGGTCAGACCGCTTTTCGTTTTCGGCGGTTTTTGGCCTTGCTCAGGCCACTTGCACTGAGCGGAGCACGACGGATGGGGAAGCCGATATGCCGCCGGAGCGGGGACAGACGATGGTGGCAGCGGCCGCGTGCCGGCAAGAGCCGGAGCGGGAACGGACGGCGGTGGCAGCGGTCGCGTGCCGGCAGGAGCCGGAGCGGGAACTGACGACGGAGGCAGCGGCTCCGTGCCTACAGGGGCCGGAGCGGGGACGGACAAGGGTGGCAGCGGCCGCGTGCCGGCAGGAGCCGGAGCGGAACTGACGACGGAGGCAGCGGCTCCGTGCCGACAGGAGCCGGAGTGCGGCTGGACGATGGTGGCAGCGGCCGCGTGCCGGCAAGAGCCGGAGCGCGGACGGACGACGGTGGCAGCGGCCGCGTGCCGACAGGAGCCGGAGCGGGAACGGACGACGGTGGCAGCGGCCGCGTGCCGGCAGGAGTTTCCCGGAAGCCGTGTGCAGTGCGCGCAAGCTCAATGTTGGAGACGTGGCGATGCACGTAATGGGGAAGATAGAAACTGACTTTGTTGCGAGATAAATCAATGGAACCCTTTGCAGGGCACGCACATCTGTTAAGACAATGTACGCATCTTTGTATTTGTGGCTCATACCTTGCCCGTGTTATGTAAGCCTTTAAAAATTCTATAAGGAGATGCTTGCCTTTAGTTTTCCTTATTCTGGCGTGCAACTGGTTTGCGTCATCTCTCGCATTTCAGTGAGCTAAGCTGATCATATGAAAGTCAAGTCCTCTCAGAAATCAAGGCGGTTTATCGCTTGGCCTTGGCGCCCGCATGCAGCAAAGTACCAGTCAGTACATGGTTGTCAGGGCCTTGGGTTAGCGATGGCAAGGGAGTTAAAAATACATACCGTCCCCGGCTCGCGACCTCCGCCCACTGTGTGGAAGATGTCAGTGTGGGGTGATCAGTTAAGTCAATGACTTGGGCTTTGCATATTTCAAATATGCATTTAATAAGACCGGTTACATAAGCAGTTAATTCCGCGCGTAGCGGGCTGACAAAGCCGTCCATGGCCTAGACAAGCCCGACAGCATCCCGCGGTGGCTGGGCTCGGTCCGACTGCGGCCGTCAGCCGGCCAAAAAGAGATGCCGGGCTCGGCCCGAGCGCGGCCGCCGGTCGGCCATACAGGGATGCTGGGCTCGGCCCGACCACGGCCGCCGGCCGGCCATACAGGGATGCCGGGCTCGGCCCGACCACGGCCGCCGGCCTGCCATACAGGGATGCCGGGCTCGACCCGACCGCGGCCGCCGGCCTGCCATACACGGATGCCGGGCTCGGCCCGACCGCGGCCGCCGT